AGCGTGGGGTAGCTTCAAAGCATGTGAGCTGCTGCTGACCCATTAGTAAGTTCACTAGCATGTGAGATAGCAACTCCGACTGCCTGTCTGACAGTGCAATCCAAGGGGTGGGAGGTTGCGTTCCCATCCAGATGTGTAAAATGAACGTGCATCATTTTCAAGCAGCATTCTTTGATGAGACTCCAGAAATCTCTTTCAGTGCATTACAAGCATGTGGGAATCCAAGGATATCTGGTTGTGATCAGAATTCATCAGCACGTAAGGGTGTGTCTACACTACATGGCTCCGTCGACGGTTGTAGATATAGCAAAATGAAGCAGCGATTCAAATAATCATTGCTTCATTTAAATGTAAACGGCTGCTGCGCTGAGCCAATCAGCTGTTTGTCGGCACAGCTCTGTAGTTTGGACGCTCCGCGGTCGACATCAGAGCTCTTTGTCGACTGCCCCAGTAAACCTCATCCCACGAGGAATAACGGGGCGGTTGACAAAGGCTTTGATGTCGACTGCAGAGCGTCCAGACTACAGCGCTGTGCCGACAAACAGCTGATCGACTCGGCGCAGCAGCCATTTAAATTTAAATGAAGCTGCGATTATTTAAATCACGGCTTCATTTCCCTTTGCCGATCAGCCTAATCTACATGGCTTCGTCAACGGAGCCATGTAGTTTAGACACACCCTAACAGTGCACAGGAGCCTTTAAGTAACAGCTAACATAATTTACTCCCATTTGTATTGCACCTTCACACAGTGTCACAGTGTTGTAAAACAGCCCAAATATAAATGAGAATTGGGCCCTGTATTTGTTGCAGGACGATAAAGGAAAACACAAGGACAGCTCCTTAGGCAGGGTTGGTTGGTGGGTACTCAAGAAAACCAACATACTGGATGTCTTAAATCTTTCTAATTTCTGTGATAAAATTCTACATGAAGAAGCTTTATTTATTTACACAGCACACAACTGATGTATAACTTACTAGCAGATTTACCCAGTATTACTCAGTCCTTAACGTAAATAAATTATGTTTTCTTCGTTTAAATCTTTGTTCTAGGGTGGGGCTGGGGATGAGGGATTCAGTATGCAGACTACCCTGGGGAGAGGGCAACCCCAGCCCCCTCTCACTAAAGCAATTTGGGGCCAGGTAAGAAGCACCTGTTTGCAGCTGCTGCAGGCACAGCTAGAGATACATGTCACCTGGCTGGGGAAGAGAAAGACTCATGAACAGACACACAGAAAAACTCTCTGAAATATATAGTAGATAGCTGTCCCTTTTACTACACCTGTCAAATCCATAATATCTGTGGATAAGTGGATCCTCCTGTGTCTCAGGACAAATGTCTAAGTGATAACATGCTTAAGAGATTCCCTTATAATGCAAACGAACTGTCACAGTCGTCATGAAGTTGCATTTGTGGTTCGGTATGGCTGACAGGAAACAGTATTCTTTTGAATAATTTTCACATTTTTAAAGACTCAAATTAAATGTTTCTTACCGAGCAGACCCAATCCTTCCTACATGATCACCCTCCGATGCTGGGGATTTGATTAGAGTAAAATTCTGCTCTTCTAAGTGCTCTGAAGATGGTGTGTCTGCAACATCTGAACTGCCTTCCTCAGTGGTCTCTTTCTTCTGATGCTGCTGGAGCAAAATATAAAGCCAATTGTGCTTTGTGCAGCTTTGGCTCAGCTGCTGCAGCAGAACAGAACTGTTTCTATAGCTGATATGTTGCTTACAGATAGAGCTGTGTGCACCCCAGAGGTTATGTTTAGAAGGTTTGGTTCCTGTCCATGTGGGGAAGTTTCTATCCCATAGGGTCCACTTTGAGATTCAGGTTTGAACACTTCCAGCCCCCCACCCCCCGCCAAAAAAAAACTGAAGTGAATCAACCGAAATACCAGAGTTTCATAGCAAACCACAATCATGGCCCACACAATTCATGTGCACTCTGCTCCAAGTTCTTTCTCTCAGGTACTTACATGTCTCTCAATACTGCAGTTTTTAACATCTCATGCTCTTTAATGTAATTATCATGACACCCCTGTGAAGTAGGACAGGGCTAGTCTCTCAATTTTACAGATGGGGAACTGAGGCACAATGAGGTTATGTGACTTGCCTAAAGTCCCCCAGGAAGTATTTGGTGGAGCAGAGAATTAAACTCAGGTCTCTGAAAATCTAGGACAGTGTCCTAGCCATTTGACCATCCTGGCTCCCGTAGTTCACAGGGGGCTATAAGACTTCCCAGTGCAGAAGAACACAATAGCCCAGGAAGGCTATGAAAGTTTTACTATATTATATTAGTCTGATAACAAAATAATCCAGAGATAAGTAGATGAGAGGACTAATTGCTCCTTATCTGACACCAATGCAGCTTTCTTTCCAGCTGCAAGCTAACAACCAATATCACTCTAAGTTTTGAGTTTTCTACACTTTGGCTACTTTGTGCCACAGCTTTTATAGTATTTATAGTATTTATAGTATTTGCATCTGACGAAGTGGGTCTTTGCCCACGAAAGCTTATGCTCCTACACTTCAGTTAGTCTATAAGGTGCCACAGGACTCCTCGTCGCTTTTATAGTATTTACATGTGGCTTTTCTTTGCCATAACTCAGCTTTGAAGATCATGTTGCAAAGCTTAGATGTCACTTATCCTCATGTTATCTCTGCCACGCAAAAGCTTTGAGGAAATGTCACACAGGTGTGGTGGAAACTCAGAAAAAGTCTCCCTGATAGTCACCTCTGGCATAGGTGGAAGCTACTGAAGCAGCTGAGTGCTGGTATTCTGAGTTAGCAGAAATCTCTGATTAAGTGGAGGAAAGAAGCATTTTTTAAAATGTGAACAAAATTGCCTCCAGGAGCTGCTGTTACCATTAGTATCTTTTGCTAGGTTTACCTGATGTGTGAGCAGTCCCATCTCCTGCTCCAACTCCTTAATCTTAGCTTCTCGTTCAGCCACCATCTGTTGGAGCTGCCCTATGAGACTTTTCTGTTTCTGTGTTTCACTGTTCAAATGCTGTCCTAGATTCTGCTGGGACTCCTTATTCTTCTCGTCCTGCAGGCTCAGGTGCTTTAAGATCTCGTGCATTTCCTTCTGCTGGTTCTGGTGAAGCAGAAATGACAGGCAGGGCATTATCTTTTGCGTATGGTGATCATTAAGCATGCATAAAATGATGTTTCCTGTTTACATCTACCCCGAAGTAAGGCACACATATTGGTATCACGACAGGTTGAACCTCTCAAATCTGGAACTCTCTGGTCTGGCAACATCCGTGGTCCAGTAGGACCTCGGATGTTGCTTAACCATAGAGCACCAGAGGCAGCAGAAGGAACCAGTTAAGACAATGCGAGGGATGGGAAGCCCAAACTGGGCCAGGCATCAGCTGGGGAACCCCCAACATCAATGAGGCCAGATATAGCCTGGGAGCCAGAACCCCCATTGTCAGCTGGGCCAGGCTGCTGGGGAGTCCTGGCCCCAGCCAGGCAACCCCCAGTTGCAGTGGAGCTGCTGGCAGCAGGAGGCCCAGCCAGGAAATCTCCAGCAACAGCAAGGCCGATGGAAGTCGGGCAGCCCCTGCCAGGAACCCCAAGAAACTCCTCTGGTAGGGGCAAGCGGCTCCACCGGGGAACTCCAGTGAATCATCAGCGGCAGCAGGGCCAGCCCTAGCAGCAGGGTAGGGAGGCCATGTAGTCTGCGCTGGGAACCCCGGGGGATGCTGGGGCAGCTTGCAGACAACAGCGTGGGAAACCCAAACTAGGCCAGCATTAGTGGGGCCAGCAGCAGGGCAGGGAGCCCAGAGAGAGAAGCCTGGGAGCCAGCAGCTCGCAGAAGAGCACAGCCCTGGTCCGGCATACTCTCTGATTTGGGACCGCTCAGGTCTCGAGGGTGCTGGACTGGGGAGGTCCAACCTGTAGTGCAATACATAGCCAGAATCCATATTTCATAGTATTAATATATCGCACCAAACTCATCCCTGATGTAAGTCCATTAAAGGCAGTGATGTTACTCAAGGGATAAATTTGGTCTACCATGTTCTAAGCTACAACTCTAATAGCGTCTTGGGACCAGCTTGACTGTCAAGTACTTTCAGCATCTGTCCACTGCAAGGATTTCACACTTTGCAGAATGAAAAGCAACATGCTACAGAGTGAGCTAACTCAGTACTCACAGGCTTTGATCCGGTAAGGCCCTGCCTAGTAGATGGAAGGGTGTGCACATCAGTTAGGCAAGGGTGAACACAGCCCACATGCAACAAGTAAAGTTCAGTATTTGGCAAAGTTCTATACAAATAGTGATAATAAGGCTTAAAACTCCTTAAGGATCATACTAAAAAGTAGTGGGGCCTGGGCAAAGAATGTTCTCTTCTTATCCCCATTTTGCAGATGGGAAAACTGACACACAGGTCTGAGACTCCCTAGATTCCAGTCTCACTAGGTGACCCTGGATTCTGACGGCCAGCCTACGCCTTATTTCAGAGGTGCTGAGCACTTACAGATCCAGCTGAAGTCAGCAGGAGCTGCAGGTGGCCTTGCACCTCTGGGAATCAGGTTTTATGTATCTCCATTGGGCAACAAAGAACTGAAGCACCCAGACTTAGTAGGTGTTCCTGACAAACATTGACCAAATGCCCAGGGTCATGCAGTGAGTCAGTAGCAGAGCTGGGAACAGAATGCAGAGAGTCTTGATTCCCAGTCCCCTTTCCTACCTACCAGATAACTCTGCTTCCACCTTTTATGACAATCCGGCTGGGCATTTCTTATGAGACATGCATCTCATAGCCACCTCCATGACAATAAATGCATCACCCTCCCCTTTGAACCAAGTCTAAATCTCGACCAGTCTCTGAAGCCAATTCAATATAAAATGCAGACGTTTTGGATCATTCTTAAATCTAGGATTGCTCCTGGATTTTACAGGTTCTAAGTATCCTAAGAGTATGTCTTGGTCACTGTGTAGTAGGATGCCTTCACTTTTGTGAATTACAAAAAGAACATCAATCCTATAATGCCCAGGATTGTACCAGTAAGGCATCTACGAGCTCGTCGTCATGCTTTCCTTTCTCCAGCAGTGTTAAGATTTGTCCTTTCAGAGTTTTCACTTCATTGGACAGCACTTTGTTCCTGGCTTTTGATGCATCCAGCTTTTTTTTCACCTCCTCATGTTCTTTCTGGAGAGTATTGTGTTTCTCACTGAGTTTCTGCAATTATATAAACAATGGGAAATGACAGAAGACATCAATCGTATCCTAGTCCACATTAAGGATGTAAATGCCCATTTAAAAAGTTAACTGGATAAATGATATAATTTTAATTGTTTAACTAGTTAGCTGAGGGCTGGTGCAGAGTGGCGGGGGTCCCGCAGTGGGGCTGCTACAGGCATAGGTTCCAGCCAGCTGGTGTCACCATGGGAGGGGTCTGCTCCAGACCCGGCTGGGTCTGCCATGCTGTCAGCAGGGGGCTGCTCCCGCTGGACCCACCACTGCCAGAGTCCTCCATGCCAGGCCCTCCATGGGCATGAGGCTGCTCCTGCTGGCCCAAACCTCTGGTTAACCGGTTACCCCTGTAAGCACGCCTGTAAGGCTAATACTTACCAGGTATCCGGTTAACCTTTTATATCCCTAGCCTACAAGCATCTTCTCTCTTAAGGGAGTACAGGGAAGCACACTCAGTCCTTTGGAATCCAGAGCTGTGGGCTGGCTTGGCAGCCACAAAGTGACTCACCTCTGTGTAAACAGAAATATAGATATATTGATATTGCATGTTTCACTCATCACTCACTCACTAGCAGTGCAAGATATCTGTGCATTCAGAATCTGATTTGATTTAAGAGATTCAGTTTTTGCAATGAAACAAATTATAATTATATTTAGGTTGAACATTAGGAAAAACTTCCTTACTGTCACGGTGGAACACTGGAATAAATTGCCTAGGGAGGTTGTGGAATCTCCATCTCTGGAGATATTTAAGAGCAGGTTAGATAGACATCTATCAGGGATGGTCTAGACGGTCCTTGGTCCTGCTGTGAGGACAGGGGACTGGACCTGATGGCCTCCCGACGTCCCTTCCATTTCTGGTGTTCTATGATTCTATAATTTTGTATCAAAACTTGAAGCACTGTGTTCATTGTCTGCAATTTCCCCATAACTGAAGTGACTACACTGTTGATTAACATCCTCCTCTGAAGAATAAAGAGCTTCAAAATATAAATATATAAAATTATATATTATAAGTATACTGTAGACACTGGGCCAGATTCCAATCTCTGTAAAATCAGTGGAAATCTGGAGGAATCCCAGATCAGTAAACTTGGCACAAGCAAACACTATGGCTATGTCTACACTTGCGGCTTCTTGCGCAAGTAATATGCAAATGAGGCTAAGCGTGGAATATCGCCGAGCCTCATTTGCATACCTAATGAGCCACCATTTTTTTCAGAAGAGGCTCTTGTGCAAGAAGGAGCGTCTACACTGCCCCTTCTTGCGCAAGAAAAACCCTCTTGCGCATGTTCTTACGCAAGAAAAACCCTCTTGCGCAACACTGTTACGCTGATTATTTTCAGGCATAACGGCATTGCGCAAGAGGGTTTTTCTTGCAGAAGAAGGGGCAGTGTAGACGCTCCTTGCGCAGGAGCCTCTTCTGAAAAAAATGGTGGCTCATTAGGCATGCAAATGAGGTTCGGCGATATTCCATGCTTAGCCTCATTTGCATATTACTTACGCAAGAAGCCGCAAGTGTAGACATAGCTTATGTGTTTTAATGTAGCTAACTAATGTAAATGTATACCTCTGGGAACAAAGGGAGTAGGGATGTTAAAACTGCGTGTAATCAATCAGCTAATCGAGTAGTCAATGGAATTTCCATGGACTACTCGATTAGTTGATAAGGGGGAACTGCAGACCCTGGGAGCTAACCCCGCTGCGGCTCTGCCTTTTAAATGTATTAAACAAGAGCCGCTGGGCTATTAATACATGTAAAAGACATAGGTGTAGTGGGGGGACCAGGTGCGAGCCAGGAATCAGCTGATTCCTGGCTCATGCCCGGTCCCAGACACTGCACCTCGGCTTCTTAAATGTATTAAGAGCCTCCCCCCAGTCGTCGTCCCTGCACACACTGTGCTTCTGTTTTAAGTGTATTAAGAGCCTAGTGGCTTTTAATACATTTAAAAAGCAAAGGCAAAGCATCCGGGACCAGGCACAAGCCGGGAATCAGCTGATCCCCAGCCTGTGCCCGGTCCTCTGCTAGCCTCTGCCTCCCCTGCCCCCCTCTGAGAGCCCACTTATATTTAGCCCAGGTGGGTGTGACAGTGCCCCATCCCTTCTCTCGCACACCCACACAAAAGGAGGCAGAGTTCTTGCATATTATGTGTTAAGTGCACGTCTATCGCAGCTCTCTGGGACTTACCTCCAAGGCTTCTTTCTTTTCTTTTTCCAAGCTGCGAATCCGTAACAGGTTTTTCTCTTGGGCGGACAACTTGCGTGGATCTGTAAGGGCCAGCATTTCCTCATCAACATTATTCACCGATGCTCTGCTCTTGCTCTGACTCAACTGATTCTCCAGCTCTCGAACCTACAGGATAATGTAAAAACACATCAGGATGTAATTCTGGCCTTGGCTTGCATGCATTGTTTCTACTGAAGTCAAGGACAGTCTCACATCCAAAGGCAGGATCTGGTCCAGAAAGGATCGTCATGTCTAGTTAGTGTCATTACAAATCACAGTTAACTAGCACTGCGGCAGGGCTCACTCTTTCAAATTTCCATTCATAGATCCCTATGCCAGGCAGGCAAAGCCAGAGAGAGGAAGGAAAGACACATTTTGCCCACAGAAAAGCTGGAGTTTTAGTCAATGAAAATGATCAAGTCCTTGTTCAGCTGCATGCACCTAACAGCAGTGGAGTGATAGCACACAAGAAAACAACCAGAGAGAAACCATATGTCCTGTGTCAGCAGCTTGTCTACATTTCCCAAGTGGAAGTAAGGTGGATGAAACCTCTCAGAAGTAATGGAGAGTTAAAGATGTCACTAGAGGGTTCATTGCTAAGCATCTTGGAAACAGGATGATAATGAAAAAGTGCAGGATTCCCAACACCAAATGCAGATGAAGCTTGGAATAGTTTAATTAATGTAACGCAGAATTTCCTAAGGTGGGCATATATTAAAAAAAACACACCAAAAACTCAAATCTCAGATTTAAATGTATTGCAAAGCCATTTATTTTAATGCCCATTTGTCTGAGCACTAAATGACTAATCATTTATTTGTATTAAATAATTTTTCTATCCTTGGCAACATGCTGCAAGCAAGTGCTGCTGCTACAACTAGCTAAAATTAAGAATTAAATAAATTAGGGACTAGCAATCTTTCTTCTTCATTCACTCCCTTAGTCAGTCACAACAAAAAAGTAGCAAGGTTACCGACAGGGCCCCAGCACCTGACACTGCAAGAATTTAAAGGCAGAAATCAAACTTAAAAAATTATATTTTCTAAACAAATCAACTTCCTCCAATCCCCCAGAATACATGTCAAGATTTTACTTAGTTTTGCTTTAAGGCATGAGTTTACCAATATGATGATAGCATCGTGCTTGTAACACTATCATGAAAACTTACCAGTCAATCACAAAATTTAGAACCACTAACTAAATGTAAAATAGTGATAGAAATGTAGCCGTTTAGTCTGGTGTAGCTGAATCAAAAAACAGGAATATGTAGCACTTTAAAGACTAACAAGATGGTTTATTAGGTGATGAGCTTTTGTGGGCCAGACCCCACTTCCTCAGATCGAAAGCTCATCACCTAATAAACCATCTTGTTAGTCTTTAAAGTGCTACATAGTCCTGTTTTTTGATTTAACTAAATGTAAGTTAAGGTAGGAAGGGATCTGAAAGGTCTTTAAGTCCAGCCCCTGAACTGAAGCAGGACCTGACCTGTTCTTAATATCTCCAACAAGTTGGAAAATAATTGATCACCATCCTCTTTATAACAGCCCTGAACAGCTAAAAACTTATCAAGTTCCCTGTTTTTTTAACCTTTCCTCATAAATCACATTTTCTAAATCACTGATCATTTTTGTGCTCTCCTCTGGACTCTCTCCAATGTGTCCATATCTTTCCTAAACGAGAAATCTAGAAATGTACACAGTACTCCAGCTGAACCCCCACCGGTGCTGAATGGAGCAGGACAATTACCTCCTTGTTACTCCAGAATATTAGCCGTGTGTGTGTGTGACAACACTACTTGCCTAGCACTGACTGCAACTTATGGAAAACAACAGAGCTAGTGATATTTTACTTGCTCATTAGAAGAAAAACAAATACTCACCACAGATGAATGGATAGGTGAGATTCGCAGGACTGCACTATACAATATGTGCATGTTCAAAATGTCATAATTTCAACAAATATGAAGGCCCAGTATGTGCCTGCAAGTTTACACTCAGCTCTAAATGCCCAAAAGATAACTTTACATACAGATTAAAAAAAGAGCCAGAGTAGTAACTTACCTTGCCTTGCAGAACAAGGATTTGCTGGGCCCGTCCACGCCAACTCCCAGAAATGGTCAAGAGATTTTGAATATTCACATCTTCACCAACTTCACTTGCTAAAAGCTGTGAATGAGCCATGAATATTAATAATGAGACTGGGCTATGTGTGTATAAATGTGGCCCTTCTCCCAGCAACTACAAAATGCTGAATTTATACACATAATTATTGTATCCCACTGGCACCTACAACTCCTATTCAGCCCATATAAAGCAAGCTCCATACTACAACAGAACACTGTTTGTGACCAGATTTTGGTTTCACTTGGAACCAAAAGTACCAACAAATTCTTGCTGAAATGGGTATTTAAATACAATTCAATATTAAAGAGGCCACATTGAATCAAGATGGTCTAAATTGCTCTGAAGCCCCAGACCAGCAAATAACTAAGCATGTGCTTAACTATAAGCATAGTTTAAATCCCACTGATTGAATAAGATTTAAGACTGTGCTGGCTGAACAGAGATGCATTTAGGCACATGCTTAATGTTAATCACAAGTTTAATTGGTTTGTTGAACTGGAGAATAAACATCTTACAGGATTCAGCACAGTGCTATCAATAGAAATATTGGAACATAACAGTGGCATTGGTAGACCAGGAATTCCATGTAGCTCAGTGTTCTCCACGTTAGAATCCAATTACTGTTATCACCGCTCTTGTGCCTTCTTTCCTGAGGCACCAAGGAGGCTAATCAAAGCCAAGAGAAAATGAAGCGCCATTCTTGATTTAACAAACTGCCTCCTTACAGAAACCAGGCTCAGATGACAATATTATGCATTACAAGAGGTGAAATAGTACCTTTTGCATCATCTTTAGTTCCTGTTTTGTGGTTTGGAGCTGATTGCGATACTCCATTGCTTTAAAGTTGGCTGCAGATAATTTTTCTTGCAAAGCTTTCAACTCTGGACTTTCAGGCTTTGAGAGAGAAAAATGTGTTTGATTAGGATGGAAAACCACTATAGAAAACAGAACTGACTGCCTGAAAGGACAATATGTGACTGTGATGTGTCAGTCTACAAATAGCTCCTGGCTGGAGAAGACAGAGGGACAGCTTTTATCACAGACTGAGTGCAATCCCTCCTTAGGATTCCAAGTCCTAGTCTGCCTGTTCACCTTGCCTGTGTAACAGTGGATTGTGCTTTCTCTAATAATAAGGATACATCATGTGACTCCTCAGAAGTGCTTCTGCAAATAATAATGAATTAAACTTCAACACTGATGTGACACAGGTAACTATTACTACCCCCCTTTTACAGATGGAGAAACTGAGGCTTCAGTGGTTTGCCTTGGATCCCACAGTCAGTCTTTGGCAGAGTCAGGAACAGACCTTAGATCTCCCTGACTCCAAATCCTATGTTTTTTTGCCTCAGGTTCATCTTGCCTCTCCAACCATCTTTCTACTAGGCTCCCAAAGCTGCCAAAGAACCCTTTAACTTGTGTTATTGAAAGAAAATAAAAACAAATCATGATGATGGAAGTCAACAGGGACTTCTTAGAATTAACAATTTTGTTTCTTTTAGGTATGCAAATAATGATCAATTTCCCTATAGCCCTCATAGTTACAACAGTACATGGTAGATCATAGCTTTCTTTGTGAGCTTTGCAGCTGATATGTACTATAACCCTCTTTTAACTTGAGGCACAGTAAAGATGCAGCAGGGAGAGAGGAAAGATCAACTGACAAGGTCACGACACCTTTTCTTATCCAATGCAATAACTACACCACTCAGACTCACAGATTATAACACCAATGGCAGGAACAGATGATTTCATCATGATGAAAGAGATTGCACAAAAGAAAAGAAAAATGATTAGTTGTCGTTTTGAATTTTTCTATAAAACGTAATTCATACCAAATTTCCTTCCATTATCTTCAGCGTCGACTGCTTGATTCCTGAGTCATTGCCACCAAGAGACTGAATTTTTCCCATCGCTGTTAGTAGCTGAAACACACACACATATATTGTGGAATGCATACTGTGACCAGAGCATATCTCCATGGAATATTATGCAGAAGAATAACAACCTCAAAAGGGTGTGTAGCTTTTAATTGCTCCAGCAAAAATGTCTTCATCTTCCACTAAATTTTCAGAGTAGCCAAATAAATACACAATTCAAAAAACACATAATTCAATCTTCCCTGAAAGAAGCTGTGCTATTTTACTAAGAGAAAGAACCACAACCAGTTGCTGACTTGCAATTGTGGGATCAGTCATCAAATGTGGACACCATGGAGGGATGCTCACAAGAAACAAGTATCTATGGTACCTAAATGTAGCTCAAGTCCAGTGGAGATCGAGGCCTAGGAATAGAATATCCTATTACGATGCCCCAATCTAAATTCGTCTCCTCAACAAAATGCTAAATCCCAATTCACCCATTTTTTAAGAAAATCTTGCAATAATTAATAAAACAAACTATTTTACCTCATCTTATGACTCGACAGGTATTTTAAAGGGGGAAAAATCTTTGATGTATAATGCATCATGGCTGAGCTTTAGGAATAATGTTAGCATGTCCTTTGTTTAGCTGAGACAGCTCTACAGATCTGTGGTCTCTTTCTCCAAGATGGGCAGAAATAATTCCCATCAAAAATCAGCCACCCTAGAAAACATAACTTGAATATTGCTGTGGACAAGCACCTGCATTTCTAGATACAAATTAGTATTTCTAACTGGCATTTCATGAGTCTCTGGCTCGTACCTCATGCCATCCTTCCAGTGAGGATGGGAAGTGCTAAGGCCATGGTGTTCAACACACTAGCCACTGGCCACATGTGACTATTTGGCTGGTTGAGTGTGGATAGTTCACTATAGCAGTATCCACTATAGTGGCTACTGCTTCAGAACTGGTCAGACAATACAGTGCTAGGAGAATGACCCCATCTGTCCTCCCAAATACAGGGATAAAAGAATCTTCCGCAAGAGCTGATACTGTAATAAACTAGGCAGTAGCAACAAGAATCAAAATTTCTCAAGCAGATATTGCCTTCAGAAAGCTACTGTCCTGATTTTGAGGTTCTACTGTGAGAAAAGAAGAGGCCTTACTTCTTTTTCAAGCTCTTTGACTTTGTTATTCAGCTGTTTCACTTTGGCTTTTTCACTCTCTGTCTCAGCAGTTAGCTCACGATTCTTCTTGGACAGTTCAACAATTTTAGTAGCTGCAACATCCCCTGCTAAACCAGACATCCCTGAAGGGAAGAAAAAAAATACATAAAACGAAGGGAAAATCTTAGATGCAATAGCCAGAATAACTGCTGTTTCTGTTCTCTGCCAAGAGCATACTGTGTTTTTATGGCCTAACCTTCACTCATATCTGTACTAAGCACAACTACCTGGCTAAAGAGAAAGGACATAGCTAAGGGGAGAGAGGCATTCATGATCCAACTCATGTCACTTAGCCCTGTAAGCGCTCAGCCAGGGCATGCCTAGACTAGGAAATTATTTTGAAAGAATTTATTTTGAAATAACTCCTAAAATAATAATTTTGAAATAGCATATCCATACTACGGGGAAGCCTTGAAATTAGTCCAAAGCAGGCTCTGTTAATGGTGGACCTGCTACCTTGACTTAGAGTCCCAGGAAACATTGGGGAATAATTAGTCTGAATTACTCTGGGGAGTATTTACTTTGAAATAGCAGCACTGAAGCTATTTTGAAATAACTATTTTGAAATTAGCATTATTCCTCATGGAAAGAAGGAGTTATTATTTTGAATTAACCAGCCCATTATTTCGAAATAACAGGCTTGGTAGTGTGGATGCTTCACTTGTTATTTCGAAATAAGGGGTGTTATTTTGAAATAACCCCCTGGAGTAGACCAGGGCACAATATCTTAAGGTGCTGCTACAGGCAACATCTCTGGCATAAAACATAGGCCCTTTCCACTTGTGGTCATAAATGCCTTGTCCATGATAAACTATTACCCATATTTTGACAAATACCAAGAAGAATGCAGCTGCACTAGAAATAGTAATGGAGTAAGCACTAGTATAGACAAGGCTCAGCTGGTTTGCTCACAGGATTGTGAGACCCTGTTCTGAGTAGGTTTTCATGACGTGGTAGTGAAAATGTCAATGCCCTGTTTGGGCTGCAGCTTAGCACTGGAGCAGCTACTGAATCAAAGGTATTGGTTTTGCTATTTCCCTTCACTACCCTAAAGGGTTAGAATCCTGGCTGCACACCAAATGGGTAATTACAGTGTGCCTGTTTAAACACCCCTTGTGCTTTCCAAGGGGTTCTTAATAGCTGCACAATGTTATTACACACTGTCAAACAAATGATACGTTCTTCCCCAGAGTTGGAGATAAAGTAATCTCTGTATACCATTCAAACTGTCAAGTCACCTAAGTGACCAAAAGGTGCTATGTACAAGTACAATCATCATTTAGAAAATATGCAAGAATATCTCTAGCTCTGCACAGGAATATACAGGAAGTAAAGACCCTGAGTGGTAACTCTGCAGCAGGGTATATGAGGATTTCATTGGACTACTGCCATGAGTTGCCAAACCCCAATGCTGAACTCAACTGATCTGCTCCCCTCAGTGTTCTCAGCTTTGTGATGACCTGTTTGCTAATGTCTGTAAGGACTCTGGGTCTCGTACACCGCATGAATGCTGATGAAGCGTAAGTAACCCAATTAATTCTAAATCTCTTATGAAAACGCTATGCCTTGTACAACCCTATTTACTTCAAACGGTTTACACAGAATGTGGGCCAGGGGAGAATGTGACCCAATGTTACAATTTAAAATCCTGGCAAAGAAATAATATCTCTGTATCATCCTTGTTCTTTCGATCTGATGTAACACTTCCTCCCGTCTCTGGGAACTATTACTCCTCCTCTTCATAATAATAATTAACAATTTGTCATAATTATTATAATAAAAATAAACAAATAGCATTTTTGTGCAAGAGTCTTAAAGTGCTTAATACCTTTGGCTAAGGCTTTTTATCTCCATATTACAGATATGGAAACTGAAGTTCAGAGAACAGATTTTTAAAGGCATTTAGATATATAATTCCCATTCAAATAAATGGGCATTAGGCACTTAAATACCTTAAAAATCTGGCCAAGGGTAATTCTTGCTCAAGGCTACCCTGTGAATCAGCTGCAGAGGCAGAAACAGAATTCAGGAGTCAGGGCTCTCAGTTTCTAGCTCTAACCTTTAGACATACTGACTTTGGCTATTAAATATAAGATGTAAGGGATAATAAAGCTTGACGGTATAAGCTACACATGATTCAGTCGTGCTTATTGCAGATATTCTCTTGTCCTATTTCAGGCGCTTCAGGGGGTAGCCAAGTCAGTCTGTTACAGAAAAAAACAACAAATGGTCTGGTAGCACTTCATAGACTAACAAAACATGTAGATGGTATCATGAAGAAGTGGGCTGTGCCCATGAAAGCTCATGATACCATCTACATGTTTCGTTAGTCTATAAAGTGCTACCAAACCATTTGTTGTTTTTGTCCTATTTCAGTCATTGCAGCTACTCTGGGCAACAATGACACCCGGTGGAAGAAGCTAGGACTGCATGTCTAAATTGTTAAGTACAAAGTACAGTACCATTTAAAAGCTTAACAGTTTTATTTGTGGCTCCCCACTTTGCAAGGGCCCCAATAGTGGGTGATACAAGCATTTAAGCAGGGCAGAAATGCAAAATGAGGACTGTAACACAAAATAACAGGAAGAATTTAAGAGACTGTGGGAGTTCATGTCTCAGATGGCTGATGTGCTTCCTGTAAGATACAATAAATAAAGAATAACATTTTGCCTTTTTATACCACCCCTTACCTGAGAATCTCAAAGCTCCTCTACTAACATCTATTAATCCTTAGAGTACCCTTCCTTCTGATGTATGGAAATACCATTATTTCTGTTTTACAGATGAGGACACAGAGGTTGAATGACTTGTTTAGGACCACATACTAAGTTAGTGGCAAATCCAGCACTAAAACCCATTCTCCTGGACCATACCCGCAACTTCCATCTCATCTGAGAGATCTGAATTTACCACATCCCTAGCTAGAGTTTATTAAGGAGGAGGGGAAATGACAACAGGAGCATGTAATTACAGTAAGACTGAAAAAGCAGTAGTTAACAAGCCCAAATTTTAATTTATAGAAGAGATAACAAAAATCATAGAAATAGTGAGAGATGTTAATAGGAAAAGAACTACATACTTGGAGTGATGATACTAAAGACACCTATGTAGTTTCACTCATGGTGATATGGTTGCTTTCTACCTCTGGAGAAGTTCCTAGCACATCCTCCACAAGCATATGTGAATAAAACTCAATAGTATCATAATAAAGATTCAGTGACAGTAACACCAAAGACAAAGGTTAGGAGCACAACTTCTAATCCCACCACTAGCTCCATGATGTCCCACTTTAGCTGGAATAGGCCCATATAAGTTGCCTGAGATGAGAGACCTGCTGTAGCCTAAATGAAGGCCTGTCTCAGCTGGCAGAAGATGCTTTTGGTAATCAAAAGAAGAGACCCTCTGTAGTCAGGGATAAAGGCCCAAGAGAGCACACTAAAGAGAGTTCTGGGGGGTACAGTGAAAGGACATGAGCCGTTAGTGGACAAGGCCCAGTACATCCCTAAAAGGATTCAGCAGGGAAAAAAGAAGAATACACAGGCAGCACAGAAACATTTTTCCTCACTTGACTAAAAGAACAGAGGGCTGCCCAGATGCATCTCACTGACCATGAGTACACACGTGCTGCTTTTTGATCCACTTCTTTAGTCATTTTAAAGGTTGTCTAGCCTGAAGTCAGTGGCCTCGCTCTCCCTGGTGCCATGGCAGTTGCTAGGATCAGTACAGAGTGGAAGAAAGCCTAAATTTGATACCACCATTCCCAAATAATTTCTGATGCTCAGGAAAAAGGACTCTCACATGACTGTACAAAAACCCTAAAATACAACAGCAACCAAGAGAAAGAGGGTCCTTGAACACCCCTCTATGATATAGCTGAGAGCTAGACAGCTTCAAACCTTTCAGGCAGTTAATCCTTTTTAAAAAGCTTTAATTCATCAGACCCAGAGCCCTCAGTTTCCCTCACTCTCTCCTATAGCATCATTGCAGGGGAATTACTACAGCCCTAATGATGCAGGGAATGATTTTTAAAGGGTTGAGCACTTGCAACTACAATGAAGTCAATGGAAGCTGAATGCTCACTAGTGCTGAAAAGCCCCAGTAACTCCTGCAGGCTGGGTAGTGCTAAGTGGAAGGGCTACAGGTGCAGAGCGCTGGGAGCAGCAGCATGAAGCAAGTGAAGAGATGGTATATGAAATCATTGCTATGAGCATTACTTAAGCTCACTATTAACTATCCTGTTAGCAGCCCTTGTTATGAGCATCAAGCAAACACAAGTTCCTACAAGATGGCCTGTCACATTGCAGGGATGAGTCTGTACATTTGGTCCATTTACCTTTGAGGGCTAATCTTTCCTCCTCTAGTCTCTTTTGGAGCTGCCTGATTTCAAAATCTCTCTCCTTCACCAGTTTGTGCAGTCTGCCATTTTCATCTACGATCTCTCGAAGCTGATCCCGAAGCTGCTCGTTCCCATCCTCAAGCAACCTAGAACAAATCACCAGTCATGGCAGATGCCACTGTGATGAGCTTCAAATAAATGCTTCTAATAATAACATTAATAGCAAGTTTAATGAGACATAAAACTGTGTGCAATGAGCTATGTTCACTAGGGGTAAGCATGTTAAGTGCTTATACATTGAGGCTGTGTCTACACTGCACCCCTTTTCCGGAAAAGGGATGCAGATTAGACACTTCGGAATTGCAAATCCGCGGGGGATTTAAATATCCCCCGCGGCATTTGCATTTACATGGCTGCCGCTTTTTTCCGGCTTGGGGATAAGCCGGAGAAAAGCGCCAGTCTAAACGCGATTCTCCGGAAAATAAGCCCTTTTCCGGAGGATTTCTTATTCCTACTTGGAAGTAGGAATAAGAAATCCTCCGGAAAAGGGCTTATTTTCCAGAGAATCGCATCTAGACTGGCGCTTTTCTCCGGCTTATCCCCAAGCCGGAAAAAAGCGGCAGCCATGTAAATGCAAATGCCGCGGGGGATATTTAAATCCCCCGCGGATTTGCAATTCCGAAGTGTCTAATCTGCATCCCTTTTCCGGAAAAGGGGTGCAGTGTAGACACAGCCTGACAGTATTGTACAGCTGCAGATCATCACTCTACCATTCTGGAACAAAATTTTAACTGGTTTCCATGGGTAAACTGTACAAGAGCACCATTACTCAATGTTCAGTTCTTCCAGAGCAGGTTGGGTTTATTCTGACTGCCATAAGCAAAGCACAAGTTCGAAGGGGAAAGAGAACTAAAATGAATCAACAATTCAGCATTTCTACTCATTTCAAGTCAAATGTGAATTGTAAGAATAAATCCAGCAGAAAATTAAGATAAGTGACACCTCTTGAATTTATCAGGCCCAGGTTTCTTAAATCAGAGACAGCAAAGAGAAATCATACGCTCTCCCTTTTTCTGAATATATCAAATCCACCTAATGTTCATCACATATGAACATATGGCCAGATACCATGCTGATGGGCATGTTGTAGGAACCAGTACAGGTCACAGCAGAATAGTACATAAGTAAGATAGACACAGCCATGCAAAGGAGGCCAGATCCTGCCATCTTGAAGGAAAAAGTACAGGTCAGTGTTTCGGGCAATATCTTTAGATTATGGAACCTGAGGTTCATTGTTCTGCCACAGACTTTCCTTGTGAGTGTGGGAAATCAAGTTATCTGTCTGTCCCAGATCCTTAAAGGTATTTAGGCTTCATGCTTCCACCAAAATCAACGGGAGTTAGGAGACAAAATCCTTTTGAGGCTATGGACCTCTGTGCCTCAGCTCCCCATCTGTAAAGTTAGGATGACAGAGTCACACTGTTGGGCGTAGCTCATGACCATGATTGCCAATCTCAGAGCAGACTATCAAAAGACAAGGCAGGCACCCCAAACTACTTGCATGTTCTATAATTAGATTTCACCAACCCAGCAACAAGTGTGAACTTCTAAAGCATTGTAACAGTCTTATCATGGAGTTACAGATAGGCATTTATCTTGCCTCCCAGACAAGTGGGACTTATTGATATGATAGATGGTGCTTAGACCACAAATCACAACAGTATGCAGGTTACTCTCAGTCCCAAAGGTCCAGTCACTTACCCCAGGTCAATTGTACTCAGATCTCAAACCAAATACAAAATCTTTAGCCAATCTTGCAATAAACTAATTAAAGATTTATTAACTAAGAAAGGAAACTAGAGTTCTTTGCAAGGTCAAAACAGGAAACATACACACACAAATGAGCTGTAGTCTTAGATTTGAAAAGATAACATAAACTACCCCATGGCTGCGTCTAGACTGCATCCCTTTTCCGTAAAAGGGATGCAAATTAGACACATCGCAATTGCAAATGAAGCGGGGATTTAAATCCCCCCCGCTTCATTTGCATAAACATGGCTGCCGCTTTTTTCCGGCTCGGAGCTTTGCCAGAAAAAAGAGCCAGTCTAGACGGGGATCTTTTGGAAAATAAAGCCTTTTCCAAAAGATCCCTTATTCCTTTTTTTAAGAGGAATAAGGGATCTTTCGGAAAAGGCTTTATTTTCCAAAAGATCCCCGTCTAGACTGGCGCTTTTTTCCGGCAAAGCTCTGAGCTGGAAAAAAGAGGCAGCCATGTTTATGCAAATGAAGCAGGGGGGATTTAAATCCCTGCTTCATTTGCAATTGCGATGTGTCTAATTTGCATCCCTTTTACGGAAAAGGGATGCAGTCTAGACACAGCCCATATGTCCTTCAGGGGTGATCCATGCCAAGCAGCATGGGGAGCTCTTGCTTATGTGTAGGAATCTTTGCTCTTCAGAGTCCAGACAGCATAGAGAGACACAGTTTCCTCCTGTCAGGGCTTTTTATCTCCCCCCGCCCCCTCCGCCTCCAGAATTCAAGCTGATAGGATGAATTCATGCACAGGCCTCCCATTCCTAGAGAGAATGAGGAATGCAATCAACATGGTCTCTCTCCTTTGATACTTCACAATGCCTCATTTGCCTTCACTTTACATTAACTAATGTTTCTTTTCCTTTCTGGTAAGTTATACTGTTACTGAGGTTTAAAGTGCAAATACGCAATATAACTTTATACCAGGGCATACAGTTATTATAAGCAGAAGTAATACATGCAGCATCCCACAAGCATTCCAGAGTCTAATCACAGTTTTATAACACTAATAGCTTTTTAAACTTTTCTAACCCATAGGTATAGACTGGTTTCCTGCTATGCATTTGTCAGTGTTCAATGAGGCCTTGAGCCTTGGCTGAGCTGGCACCTGTTCTGCAACTGTTACAGGTAGCATTTCCCTCCCTCACTGGTATGTTATGAGGATAAATACAGTGAAGATTATGAGGTACTCAGACACTGCAGTAATGGGGGACTGAGAAGTCGGTGGGAGTTGTTGGACAAAGTGCTAAGTTTCAGAACCCTTCCTAACAAACCATGTGAGTTGCACCTTTACCTTTTGCTGATCTCTTCATCTGATAGCTGTCCATCCACCTTCAACAGATTCAAATCATCCTGGACTCCAAAAATCTCCTTTGGGCTATTACTGCTGCCTTTCTGACTGGGTTGTTTTTCTTTCTTTTTCTCCATCAGATTTTGCAGCCTTTTCTGTTGCTGCTCCTGAAGAGCCTTAAACTGGATTTTTAAATGTTCATTCAATCCTTTGTCAGACTCCATGGTATGCTAAAAATAAAACAAGTAAAGAAAAACAAGGCAGCAGATTATAGAATAATTAGAATTCTATTCCGCATTGCTCAGGTCCTTAACTCAAATACAGGCAGTCCCCGGGTTACATACAAGATAGGGACTGTAGGTTTGTTCTTAAGTTGAATCTGTATGTAAGTCGGAACTGGCGTCCAGATTCAGCCGCTGCTGAAACTGACCAGCGTGGTCATAACATTTGTAAGTGTTGAAGGGCCAGTGCATGGAACTAAGGTCAGAGATATGGAGTAAATTGGGACAAGATCCTGAAAATAGTTTTCCCTCTTCCTGTCCGCCCCAGAAGAATAATGAAATAATGCATCCACGTTTTTGTGAAAATGTCCCTTTCAAAATCTTAGTAATGATTTTTAATTAGCAGGTGGTCTCTGTGTTGTCTTTAAGTGTTTATCATTATAAGAATCCACAAAGCATAGAATACCCATTATATTTACAAATGAAGAGAATTTTGTTGGAAAGCTCTTGTTTTACTGTTGCGGAATTAAACACCTAAGTGCAATCCACTAAATGTAGCATTATATCTGGCCTGCTTTCATTGTGCACACTATAAAATAAAATTAACTTTTTTATAAATTCAGAAAAAGATAAGAATCAGTTAATGTATTTACCTGTAGAACATTAAACACACTTTCTTTTCTTTTTTAAGAGTCTGTTTCCTTTCCCATTCTTTTTAGGTGTTGAGTGGGATCTTCAAAAGTGCCGAAGCAGTTAGTTTTAAAAATTCCACTACAGGCAGTCCCCGAGTTACGCGGAAACCAGCAGACCAGGGAGACGGGAAGCAAAGCCTCTGAGGGCGCCGGCAGCGGGACAGCCGTGGCGCGTCTGGGCTGTCCCGCTGCCTGCGTGCTCCGCGGCTTTGCTCCCCATCTTCCTGGTCTGCTGGTCTCCAGCAGACCAGGGAGACGCGGAGCAAACCCCGTTCGTAACTGCAAAAACTCGGGGACTGCCTGTGTTGTTTTTCTTCCTTTAAATCAATGTTCTGGGGTGGGGCCGTGGATGAGAGGTATTCAGTATGTAAGCTGCCTCAGGGAGAAAGGACAACCTCAGCTCTCCGTCATTGTAGCAGCTTGGGGCCAGGTGAGAAGTGCCTCTCCATGGCCATTGCTGTTCAGAGAGGGGTACAACTGAGAAAGGGGTGGATGTCCCCCAACTGCGGGACAAACACACAAACAGTTACACAAACTCTCTGAAATATATAGTAGATAGCTGTCCCTTTCTTCACCCCTACCTCCTGCTGCTCCATTGGTGTTACAGCTGTCCTGATCCCCATCTCTGGTCCCTTGCTGCCTTCCTGTGGTAATTCTGCAGTATAACTGTCCCTCCTACCAGACCTCACCCTTTCCATTTTATGAGAAACAACTAAATTCCAGATACAGCCCCATTGTTTTGGCACAACCAAATCCTCAGTCCCCCCATTTTTTAATTAGCGTGGGTCACTAAGTCTTCCTGAATTGTCAAAATGGGTCCCCATCTGGAAAAGGCTGGTCTAGTAGCATCTTAAAGACTAAATAGTTACAAGAGGCTAATAAGAACCATTAGTTTGCACTTGGACGATGGACACCAGATCATCAAGAACCATTAGCACCTTCATTGTTTGGTTGGTTGATAATGTGCACGCCATCCGACATAATTAAACTTGTGAATGAAGTTAAGCTCCAATCCTTCTCTGTGTATTTGGCTTGTGGAATTGGTCTGAAACAAAACAGCCTGTAGGTTTTTGTCTCTGTCTGCGGGATTGGAGCAAATCCGATTGTATTTTAGGGCTTGCCTGTATACAATAAATTGAGAAAGGCCTCCAAAAAGTAATTAATACTGATATATTTCTCTTATATTCCATTCTTCTTGAATGAAACCTTTAGTCCTGGTTTAACAAAGAATTAACCAAAATAATTATTGATTAAGGGATTTAGTAATTTAAAAACCTTCCATTCCAAGGTCAGTGGTTTGTAGTAAATGAGTTTGGTGGCTTCAGTCCTCTTCTCCCTTTGTTGGCCATAACAGCAGGACTAACAACTGGAAGCCATGCTGAATTGTGCTCTCTTACCCCTTTACAATGGAGCTCACAGGACTCAATTGAACTTACGGCTCCATTGTCCTCAGTGCTGTACAGATAATTTGGCCTATAATAATCTCACTCAAGTTCCTAACAAATGTCATTTATTGCAACCTGTAACAATTTGGGGAATCTGTTTACAAATAACTTAAGAATTCTGGTTGATATTGACATTATAAAGTTGTCATGAAATTGTTGTAACATGGAATATACCTCTCTGTGAATGTGAAATCCACCACTTTGTTGAAGCTCATACCTACCAGACCAGGGACAATGCAAAGTCATTATCCTTAATTACTGTGCTCTGACTGCACAATAGGTATACTAAGGAGGTTGCCTGGTCAGAGAAGCAGAAGCCTAAAACCCTCAGCAGAACAGAGAAAAAGGGTGTGTAGGTAGGAGGACATACAAACTTGAGACACACTGGAAGATTTGTGCAGGAGAGAAGAAAAGGCAGGAGGAACACTCTTAGGCTGTGTCTAGAATGGTAAGTTTTTCCGCAAAATCAGCTGCTTTTGCGGAAAAACTTGCCAGCTGTCTACACTCGCCGCTTGAATTTCCACAAGAACACTGACTTCCTACTGTAAGAAATCAGGGTTTCTTGCGGAAATACTATGCTGCTCCCGTTCGGGCAAAAGCCCACTTGCGCAAATCATTTGCACAAGAGGGCCAGTGTAAACAGCACAGTACTGTTTTGCGCAAAAAAGCCCCGATAGCTAAAATGGTGATCGGGACTTTTTTGCGCAAAAGCGCGTCTAGATTGGCACGGATGCTTTTCCGCAAAAAGTGCTTTTGCGTGCCAATCTAGACGCTCTTTTCCGCAAATGCTTTTAACGGAAAACTTTTCCGTTAAAAGCATTTGCAGAAAATCATGCCAGTCTAGACGTAGACTTATAGTGAGGGACAGGGTCCATTTTAACTGCAAGACCAGTAAAGGGTCAGAAAAAAGTTAACTGATTTATTCTGGAAACCATGAGGTAGGGAGAAGGATTTCACATATCTCAGAGGACTTTGCCTAAGCCTCAAGAGCTCTTCAGATAGGTAGGAAGCTGAGACAGGGAAATTCACATACTTGTGTTCATTATTTTGAATTATTTTTTATATTTTTTGTGCTAAGAATGGTGTTTTAGAATTCTGTGCAGAATCTCTGTGTCTGTTGGTGTTCACTGTCATGGGCCACTTATAAAGAGATAAATATTAAACCAAACTAGAAGGTTCACACCTTCAGTGGGATTCTGGAGAATGCAGAAGTGCTGCTGGGAAGGCTTGGGAGACACACAGCCCTAGTTTCAGGATCCAGGCAAATGAGCTGCAGGGTCCCCACTCCAAAGAGGGGTGTCAAACATGAGAGGCCCAAAATCAAGCACAGTACCAAAACTCTATCCAGCTCCAGCAAGGTAACGGCATGTGGGATTCAATGCCTAGATCCCTTCACAGCAGTCTGTTGAATGTCCAGCAGGAAGAGCCTGTGATACGAGGAGGTCTGTGATACAAGCCTCATGGACAACTGGCAGAGGATTTCACAAGCAAGAAGAACAAAGTATACTTTCCCTCCAGCAGCTTCAGGGGGTAGCCGAGTTAGTCTATAAAGAAAAAACAACAAATGGTCTGGTAGCACTTTATAGACTAACAAAACATGATAGGACGAGGATACAGGGCATCCCCACTATAAGTCGCCCCGGTATACATCCGTTCCACACTAAAGTCATTGACATTTGTAGGAACTGATGCGTTATAAGTCCTCTCATTCCCAGCTATAAGTCGTATGAAACCCTCCCCCCACAATTTGCTTAAATGGAAGTCAGCTGCAGGAAAAAAATTCCCCGCTTTAAGTTGTTTCCCTGTAAGTCCAAATTTTTTGGAACGTATCTTGGACTTATAACAAGGACGGCCTGTACTCAATAGGGCGATTGTTGGACGAGGCTGTATGGCTGTTGTGTGTGGGTAGCAGATTTAGATCTTCAGGACTAGTACTCAGTGCATTTTGTAAAAGGGAACATAATTCAAAGAGGGTCTTTAAAAAAAAACAACCCTATGGGATTGTGACTATTTTCTTCCACTATTGTGACTGAGGAAGTGGGTCTAGCCCAGGAAAGCTCATCATCTAATAAACCATCTTGTTAGTCTTTAAAGTGCTACATAGTCCTGTATTTTGTTTCAGCTACATCAGACTAACACGGCTACATTTCTATCACTATGGTAAGAAAACACTTCTATAGTGATAAAAATGCATTTCACATACACAAACGTGAGCATATAAACATCAATGTGAATGAATGCAGGGCAGCCATTTGTCTCAAAAGACGATCACTCCATTGGGCTTTGGGCCGCTCTGGGCCCAGGTGCGAGTGCCAATATAGTTCAGTTACAGTGTCACGCTGTGGCATCGCAGGTGGCTAAAGAGCCCACTCACTATGTGTGTGATGTTGATGTACATATCCAGAGGCAGGTGCCGGGGCTCAGCGGGGGCTCACACACAGGTATGCGTGGCCATATGGCAGTACAGGGGTATCCTACATCACAATGACGCAAGGGTGGCCCGCTCGGCCCTGCCCTCTGCCAAGGGGGGCTCAGCTTGGCGCCACCCTCATCCCCGTGGCGTAGCCCCCCCAGCCCTCACCCCAGGGGTACAGGCTGAGGGCAGCCTGGCACTGCCAAGGCATTGGCTGGGGACACCCAGGGGTAGGGCAGGGCCCTCCCCTCCCAGGGCACAGAG